GTGTAATGGTCGAGCTATAAATAGCGGCCATTTTGGAATTCTTCATTTGCCTGCAGTCATTGAACAGAGGCAGACCGCTCTGTATTAGGGACAGGGACAGAGTTAGGGCCACAGAAACGATACTTGGGGACAGAGAAACGATACTTAGGGACAGAGAACTATTACTCAGGGACACAGAATTGTTAATTAGGGCCACAGAATCGTTACTTAGGGACAAAGAAACGCTAGTTAGGGCCACAGAATTCATACTCAGGGACAGACAGAATTGTTACTGAGTGCCAGAGAATTGTTATTTAGGGCCACAGAAACGTTATTAGGGCCACAGAATTGTTACTCAGGGACAGACAGAATTGTTACTGAGTGCCAGAGAATTGTTACTTAGGGCCACAGAAACGTTATTAGGGCCACAGAATTGTTACTCAGGGACAGACAGAATTGTTACTGAGTGCCAGAGAATTGTTACTTAGGGCCACAGAAACTTTAGTTAGGGCCACAGAATTGTTACTCAGGGACAGACAGAACACTGAGGCCATTGTTTACTTAGGGCCACAGAAACTTACTTAGGGGCCACAGAATTGTTACTCGCACAGACACAGAATTGTTACTGAGGGCACAGACACAGAATTGTTACTGAGGGCCACAGAACTGTTACTCACAGAACTGTTACTTAGGGCCACAGAATTGTTACTCGCACAGACACAGAATTGTTACACAGGGACACAGAACTGTTACTGAGGGCCACAGAACCGTTACTTAGGGCCACAGAATTGTTACTCGCACAGACACAGACACACAAGACACAGAATTGTTACTACTCGCACAGACACAGAATTGTTACTGAGGGCCACAGAACTGTTACTTAGGGCCACAGAATTGTTACTTAGGGACACAGAATTGTTACTCGCACAGACACAGAATTGTTACTGAGGGCCACAGAACTGTTACAGAAACGTTAATCAGGGACACAGAATTGTTACTGAGGGCCACAGAACTGTTACTTCTTACTGGGGCCACAGAAACGTTACTCAGGGACACAGAATTGTTACTGAGGGCCACAGAACTGTTACTTAGGGCCACAGAATTGTTACTCGCACAGACACAGAATTGTTACACAGGGACACAGAACTGTTACTGAGGGCCACAGAACTGTTTACTTAGGGGCCACAGAATTGTTACTCGCACAGACACAGAATTGTTACTCGCACAGACACAGAATTGTTACTCGCACAGACACAGAATTGTTACTCAGGGACACAGAACTGTTACTGAGGGGCCAGAAACTGTTACTTAGGGCCACAGAATTGTTGCTCGCACAGACACAGAATTCTTACTCGCACAGACACAGAATTGTTACTCAGGGACACAGAACTGTTACTTAGGGCCACAGAACTGTTACTTAGGGCCACAGAATTGTTACTCGCACAGACACAGAATTGTTACTCGCACAGACACAGAATTGTTACTGAGGGGCCACAGAACTGTTACTTGGGGCCACAGAAACGTTAATCAGGGACACAGAATTGTTACTGAGGGCCACAGAACTGTTAGTTAGGGCCACAGAATTGTTACTCGCACAGACACAGAATTGTTACTCGCACGCACAGACACAGAATTGTTACTGAGGGCCACAGAACTGTTACTTGGGGCCACAGAAACGTTAATCAGGGACACAGAATTGTTACTGAGGGCCACAGAACTGTTACTTAGGGCCACAGAATTGTTACTCGCACAGACACAGAATTGTTACTCGCACAGACACAGAACTGTTACTGAGGGCCACAGAACTGTTACTTAGGGCCACAGAATTGTTACTCGCACAGACACAGAATTGTTACTGTTACACAGGGACACAGAACTGTTACTGAGGGCCACAGAACCGTTACTTAGGGCCACAGAATTGTTACTCGCACAGACACAGAATTGTTACTCGCACAGACACAGAATTGTTACTCGCACAGACACAGAATTGTTACTCAGGGACACAGAACTGTTACTGAGGGCCACAGAACTGTTACTTAGGGCCACAGAATTGTTACTCGCACAGACACAGAATTCTTACTCGCACAGACACAGAATTGTTACTCAGGGACACAGAAACTGTTACTTAGGGCCACAGAACTGTTAGTTAGGGCCACAGAATTGTTACTCGCACAGACACAGAATTGTTACTCGCACAGACACAGAATTGTTACAGAGGGCCACAGAACTGTTACTTGGGGCCACAGAAACGTTTAATCAGGGACACAGAATTGTTACTGAGGGCCACAGAACTGTTACTTAGGGCCACAGAATTGTTACTCGCACAGACACAGAATTGTTACTCGCACAGACACAGAATTGTTACTGACTGAGGGCCACAGAACTGTTACTTGGGGCCACAGAAACGTTAATCAGGGACACAGAATTGTTACTGAGGGCCACAGAACTGTTACTTAGGGCCACAGAATTGTTACTCTCGCACAGACACAGAATTGTTACTCGCACAGACACAGAATTGTTACTGAGGGCCACAGAACTGTTACTTAGGGCCACAGAATTGTTACTCGCACAGACACAGAATTGTTACTCGCACAGACACACAGAATTGTTACTCAGGGACACAGAACTGTTACTGAGGGCCACAGAACTGTTACTTAGGGCCACAGAATTGTTACTCACACAGACACAGAATTGTTACTCAGGGACACAGAACTGTTACTGAGGGCCACAGAACTGTTACTTAGGGCCACAGAATTGTTACTCGCACAGACACAGAATTGTTACTCGCAGGACACAGAATTGTTACTCAGGGACACAGAACTGTTACTGAGGGCCACAGAACTGTTACTTAGGGCCACAGAATTGTTACTCGCACAGACACAGAATTGTTACTCGCACAGACACAGAATTGTTACTGAGGGCCACAGAACTGTTACTTGGGCCACAGAAACGTTGTTACTCATCAGGGACACAGAATTGTTACTGAGGGCCACAGAACTGTTACTTAGGGCCACAGAATTGTTACTCGCACAGACAGAATTGTTACTCGCACAGACACAGAATTGTTACTGAGGGCCACAGAACTGTTACTTAGGGCCACAGAATTGTTACTCAGGGACACAGAATTGTTACTCAGGGCCACAGAACTGTTACTGAGGGCCACAGAACTGTTACTTAGGGCCACAGAATTGTTACTCGCACAGACACAGAATTGTTACTCGCACAGACACAGAATTGTTACTGAGGGCCACAGAACTGTTACTTGGGGCCACAGAAACGTTACTCAGGGACACAGAATTGTTACTGAGGGCCACAGAACTGTTACTTAGGGCCACAGAATTGTTACTCGCACAGACACAGAATTGTTACACAGGGACACAGAACTGTTACTGAGGAGGGCCACAGAACCGTTACTTAGGGCCACAGAATTGTTACTCGCACAGACACAGAATTCTTACTCGCACAGACACAGAATTGTTACTCAGGGACACAGAACTGTTACTGAGGGCCACAGAAGAACTGTTACTTAGGGCCACAGAATTGTTACTCGCACAGACACAGAATTGTTACACAGGGCACAGAATTGTTACTGAGGGCCACAGAACCGTTACTTAGGGCCACAGAATTGTTACTGAGGGGCACAGAACTGTTACTTTAGGGCCACAGATTGTTACTCGCACAGACACAGAATTGTTACTCAGGGACACAGAACTGTTACTGAGGGCCACAGAACTGTTACTTAGGGCCACAGAATTGTTACTCGCACAGACACAGAATTGTTACTCAGGGACACAGAACTGTTACTGAGGGCCACAGAACTGTTACTTAGGGCCACAGAATTGTTACTCGCACAGACACAGAATTGTTACACAGGGACACAGAATTTGTTACTGAGGGCCACAGAACCGTTACTTAGGGCCACAGAATTGTTACTCAGGGACACAGAATTGTTACTGAGGGCACAGAACTGTTACTGAGGGCCACAGAACTGTTACTTAGGGCCACAGAATTGTTACTCGCACAGACACAGAATTGTTACTCAGGGACACAGAACTGTTACTGAGGGCCACAGAACTGTTACTTAGGGCCACAGAATTGTTACTCCACAGACACAGAATTGTTACTCAGGGACACAGAACTGTTACTAGGGCCACAGAACTGTTACTTAGGGCCACAGAATTGTTACTCGCACAGACACAGAATTGTTACATAGGGACACAGAATTGTTACTGAGGGCCACAGAACCGTTACTTAGGGACACATAATTGTTACTGAGGGCCACAGAACTGTTACTTAGGGCCACAGAATTGTTACTCGCACAGACACAGAATTGTTACTCAGGGACACAGAACTGTTACTGAGGGCCACAGAACCGTTACTTAGGGCCACAGAATTGTTACTCAGGGACACAGAATCGTTTAATTTAAGAGTATGTCAGACAACATGCAGAGGAGTGGCAGAGGAGGCAATGTTTTAGGAGCGAGCAGACGTGGCAGCAGAGGAAGGGGTCGAGGCAGCACTATTCGCAGCCAGAGGCTAGTGCTCCCGGTGTCATCCAGTACAGTGAGGAAGAGCTAACAGAGGGCGGTCAGGAACGGGGGGAGACATCCGCCTCTTCAGCAGCCAGGCGAAGAAGAGTAGTGGCGAGGAGAGTGGCTCGGTAGCCGGTGTAGAGACAGGTCTGTCTCCTGATCCACACGCAGCCGAGGGGGGCTAGTAGTAGTGAGGCGGAGACCCTAATTGATGATGATGAGGCTGATCGCACTTGGCAGCCCGTCGTCATCAGGCTATTGCTTCCGCATCATCAGGAGAAGAGGGTGGCAGCTTGCAGCTTGGCAGCGAGCAAAACAGTCGGTGGGTTGTCTCCATCGCCACACTCTGCCATGTGCCACTTTCAGGTCTCCTCACACACTGCTGGTGTGTTGAATTTTTTGACATAGGGTGCTGGCAGATTACGGGCCTCCCATAGCTGCTGCTGCCAGGCCCCTAATCTGCCATGGGCCCCCCTATATACCGCCTCCTCATGCTGCTGCCAAGTCCAAAGTCTCTCATGGGTCCCTGTACGGCCCAAAGTCCTCATGGGTCCCATTGCTGCTGTCTCTCCATCGCCACACTCTGCCATGTGCCACTTTCAGGTCTCCTCACACACTGCTGGTGTGTTGAATTTTTTGACATAGGGTGCTGGCAGATTACGGGCCTCCCATAGCTGCTGCCAGGCCCCTAATCTGCCATGGGCCCCTATACCGCCTCCTCATCATGCTGCTGCCAGGTCCACAGTCTCTCATGCCATGTGCCACTTTCAGGTCTCCTCACACTGCTGGTGTGTTGAATTTTTTGACATAGGGTGCTGGCAGATTACGGGCCTCCCCCATAGCTGCTGCCAGGCCCCTAATCTGCCATGGGCCCCTATATACCGCCTCCTCATGCTGCTGCCAGGTCCAGAGTCTGTCATGGGTCCCTGTTCGGCCTCCCATTGCTGCTGTCTCCATCGCCACACTCTGCCATGTGCCACTTTCAGGTCTCCTCACACACTGCTGGTGTGTTGAATTTTTTGACATAGGGTGCTGGCAGATTACGGGCCTCCCATAGCTGCTGCCAGGCCCCTAATCTGCCATGGGCCCCCCTATACCGCCTCCTCATGCTGCTGCCAGGTCCACAGTCTCTCATGCCATGTGCCACTTTCAGGTCTCCTCACACACTGCTGGTGTGTTGAATTTTTTGACATAGGGTGCTGGCAGATTACGGGCCTCCTATAGCTGCTGCCAGGCCCCTAATCTGCCATGGGCCCCCTATATACCGCCTCCTCATGCTGCTGCCAGGTCCAGGCGAACGTAGTCACACAGGGGAGGAACTTCTGAGTGTAATGAACAGAGAAATCGACAGATGGCTGTCTCCGCGCAAAAACTGAAAATCGGAACCATGTTGACCGACAACGGAAAGAACATGGTGTCTGCTCTGCGTCAAGGAAGGTTGTGCCATGCGCCATGCATGGCTCACGTGTTCAATCTGGTTGTCAAGCGGTTCCTAAAATCCACCATCCCACTGCAAGACATCCTTAAAATGTCACGTAAACTTTGCATGCATTTCAGCCATTCCTACACCGCAAAGCACACCCTCCTTGAGCTGCAGCGGCAGAACGGAATTCCACATCATCGCCTGATCTGCGACGTTGCAACAAGGTGGAATTCAACCCTACACATGTTAGAGACCGCCTTTACGAGCAGCGAAAGGCCATCACCGATTTCCTGATGTTACAAGCGGATAAAGGTACTCCCCCTGTGTAACTTCGATGTCAGCCATTGGCAGCTCATGCGTGACACCTGCCGCTTGCTCAGGCCCTTTGAGGAGGCCACGCTATTCGTGAGTCGGCAGGACTATGGGATGAACGACGTCATTCCTCTGTTGCACGTCCTTGAACAAATGCTGTTAACAATGGCTGGTCAGGGTGCGGTAGACGTGGCGCACAGATCTCAACGCCACATGACCCCTGTGGGGGCAGGACAGGAAGAAGAGGAGGAGGTAGAGGAGGACATTTGTGCTCAGGAATTATTGAGTGAAATGGGTGGTTTTTTCCACTCAGCGGACAGGAGTGGAGGAGCAGGAGCATCTGGTAGAGGAGGAGGAGGAGGAGACAGACAGAGGACCCAGACGCACCGTGGCAGTATGCTGTGGAGATGGAGGCAGGGAGTCCCTCGCATTCCTTGGCACAAATGGCCCATAGCATGCTCGGTTTGCTTGCGTAGCGACAGCCGAATAATAACCATCAGACAGAGGGATGACTTTTGGCTGTCCACCTTGTTGGACCCTCGCTACCGTTCAAAAATGGTGGCCTTTTTCACACCTGCTGAGAGGGAGGCCAAAATAACGTACTATAAAAAACCACCTATGTAGTCAGTTGGTCTCTGCCTTTGTGCGCCAACGTCCATCCTCAGACACTGTGGGCCCTGTGCGCTCGCGTTCCGCTGCCATGGCAGCAGGGGAGGGGTGGGGTGGTAGGAGCAGTGGCAGCTCCACCAGCAGCGGCTGCCTCAGTCTGCAGTCGATGATGAGTAGCTTTCTTCACCAGCGCAGTGAGGAAACTACTAACCAGCCGCAGCAGCAGCAGCAGCAGCATCAGGTGGACCTGGAGCAGGAGCTCAAACAACAGGCTTGGGCCTACTTGGACAGCACCCTGCCAACCGAGGTAGACAATCCCCTTGACTACTGGTCAACGAAACTTGACCTTTGGCCCCAACTAGCTGAATTTGCCCTTGAAAGGCTGTCATGCCCGGCCAGTAGCGTGGCATCGGAGCGCGTGTTTAGTGCGGCAGGAGGTATTGTAACTCCGCGGAGGACACGACTGTCCACCCAAAAGTGTGGAGAGACTCACGTTTGTGAAAATGAATCAGGCGTGGATTAGTCTGGATTTCAAACCACCAGTTCCTGACACAACTGACTAAATCCGCCATGAATCATGCCTCAAACATGTGCCACTTTGAGGTCTCCTCACACACTGCTGGTGTGTAGAATTTTTTGACATAGGGTGCTGGCAGATTACGGGCCTCCCATAGCTGCTGCCAGGCCCCTAATCTGCCATATAGCCCCTATATACCGCCCTCCTCATGCTGCTGCCAGGTCCAGAGTCTCTCATGGGTCCCTGTACGGCCTCCCATTGCTGCTGTCTCCATCGCCACACTCTGCCATGTGCCACTTTCAGGTCTCCTCACACACACTGCTGGTGTGTAGAATTTTTTGACATAGGGTGCTGGCAGATTACGGGCCTCCTATAGCTGCTGCCAGGCCCCTAATCTGCCATGGGCCCCTATATACCGCCTCCTCATGCTGCTGCCAGGTCCAGAGTCTCTCATGGGTCCCTGTACGGCCTCCCATTGCTGCTGTCTCCATCGCCACACTCTGCCATGTGCCACTTTCAGGTCTCCTCACACACTGCTGGTGTGTAATTTTTTTGACATAGGGTGCTGGCAGATTACGGGCCTCCCATTGCTGCTGCCCGGCCCCTAATCTGCCATGGGCCCCTATACCGCCTCCTCATGCTGCTGCCAAGTCCAGGGTCTCTCATGGGTCCCTGTACGGCCTCCCATTGCTGCTGTCTCTCCATCGCCACACTCTGCCATGTGCCACTTTCAGGTCTCCTCACACACTGCTGGTGTGTTTAGAATTTTTTGACATAGGGTGCTGGCAGATTACGGGCCTCCCATAGCTGCTGCCAGGCCCCTAATCTGCCATAGGCCCCTATATACCGCCGCCTCCTCATGCTGCTGCCAGGTCCAGAGTCTCTCATGGGTCCCTGTACGGCCTCCCATTGCTGCTGTGTCTCCATCGCCACACTCTGCCATGTGCCACTTTCAGGTCTCCTCACACACTGCTGGTGTGTAGAATTTTTTGACATAGGGTGCTGGCAGATTACGGGCCTCCCATAGCTGCTGCCAGGCCCCTAATCTGCCATGGGCCCCTATATACCCCCCTCATGCTGCTGCCAGGTCCATATGGGTCCCTGTACCGCCTTCTCATGCTGCTGCCAGGTCACAGTGTCTCATGCCATGTGTGCCACTTTCAGGTCTCCTCACACACACTGCTGGTGTGTTGAATTTTTTGACATAGGGTGCTGGCAGATTACGGGCCTCCCATTGCTGCTGCCAGGCACGTAATCTGCCATGGGCCCCCGTACCGACTCCTCATGCTGTGACGTTGCAACAAGGTGGAATTCAACCCTACCCTATGTGTTACGACCGCCTTTACGAACAGCGAAAGGCCATCACAGATTTCCTGATGTTAAAAGCGGATAAAGGTACTCCCCTGTGTAACTTAGATGTCAGCCATTGGCAGCTCATGCGTCACACCTGCGCTTGCTCAGGCCCTTTGAGGAGGCCACGCTATTCGTGAGTCAGCAGGACTATGGGATGAACGACGTCATTCCTCTGTTGCACGTCCTGGAACAAATGCTGTTAACAATGGCTGGTCAGGGTGCGGTAGACGTGGCGCACAGATCTCACGCCACATGACCCCTGTGGGGGCAGGACAGGAAGAAGAGGAGGAGGTAGAGGAGGACATTGGTGCTCAGGAATTATTGAGTGAAATGGGTGGTTTTTCCACTCAGCGGACAGGAGTGGAGGAGCAGGAGCATATGGTAGAGGAGGAGGAGGAGGAGGAGACAGAGGACCCAGACGCACCGTGGCAGTATAATGTGGAGATGGAGGCAGGGAGTCCCTCGCATTCCTTGGCACAAATGGCCCATAGCATGCTCGGTTGCTTGCGTAGCGACAGCCGAATAATAACCATCAGACAGAGGGATGACTTTTGGCTGTCCACCTTGTTGGACCCTCGCTACCGTTCAAAAATGGTGGCCTTTTTCACACCTGCTGAGAGGGAGGCCAAAATAACGTACTATAAAAACCACCTATGTAGTCAGCTGGTCTCTGCCTGTCTGCGCCAACGTCCATCCTCAGACACTGTGGGCCCTGTGCGATGCCCTCGCGTTCCGCTGCCATGGCAGCAGGGGAGGGGTGGGGTGGTAGGAGCAGTGGCAGCTCCACCAGCAGCGGCTGCCTCAGTCTGCAGTCGATGATGAGTAGCTTTCTTCACCAGCGCAGTGAGGAAACTACTAACCAGCCGCAGCAGCAGCAGCAGCATCAGCATCAGGTGGACCTGGAGCAGGACCTCAAACAACAGGCTTAGGCCTACTTGGACAGCACCCTGCCAACCGAGGTAGACAATCCCCTTGACTACTGGGCCAACGAAACTTGACCTTTGGCCCCCAACTAGCTGAATTTGCCCTTGAAAGGCTGTCATGCCCGGCCAGTAGCGTGGCATCGGAGCGCGTGTTTTTTGCGGCAGGAGGTATTGCAACTCCGCGGAGGACACGACTGTCCACCCCCAAAGTGTGGAGAGACTGACGTTTGTGAAAATGAATCAGGCGTGGGTTAGTCTGGATTTCAAACCACCATTTCCTGACACAACTGACTAAATCCGCCATGAATCATGCCCCAAACATGTGCCACTTTCAGGTCTCCTCACACTGCTGGTGTGTTTAATTTTTTGTCATAGGGTGCTGGCAGATTACGGGCCTCCCATAGCTGCTGCCAGGCCCTAATCTGCCATGGGCCCCTATATACCGCCTCCTCATGCTGCTGCCCAGGTCCAGAGTCTCTCATGGGTCCCTGTACGGCCTCCCATTGCTGCTGTCTCCATCGCCACACTCTGCCATGTGCCACTTTCAGGTCTCCTCACACTGCTGGTGTGTTCATTTTTTGTCATAGGGTGCTGGCAGATTACGGGCCTCCCATAGCTGCTGCCAGGCCCCTAATCTGCCATGGGCCCCTATATACCGCCTCCTCATGCTGCTGCCCAGGTCCAGAGTCTCTCATGGGTCCCTGTACGGCCTCCCATTGCTGCTGTCTCCATCGCCACACTCTGCCATGTGCCACTTTCAGGTCTCCTCACACACTGCTGGTGTGTAGAATTTTTTGACATAGGGTGCTGGCAGATTACGGGCCTCCCATGCTGCTGCCAGGCCCCTAATCTGCCATGGGCCCCTATACCGCCTCCTCATGCTGCTG